ATAGATGGAAAGTATGTTAGGGAGTAAGGCAAAGTTGGATGGTTCCTCTGTATATTTTACAGAAATCTATAAGTTAGTATTTTGCTAGAGTATAAAGGTAAAGAGCTGAGAATAATATATCATTTACTAGTAGTATTCTTTAATTTCATAAAGCAGTGTATTAAAAATAAGAATTTATGGGGCTGGAGTGATAACTCAGTGGTTAAGAACACTGAGTGTTCTTGAAGAAGATCCCAGTTCGAATCCCATCACCCACATGGTCACTAACAATTGTCCACAACTCCAGTTCCAGGGGATCTAACACCCTGTTCTGTCCTCCACAGGCATTGAATGACACAGGTACACTTATATACCTGAAGGCATAACACTCATACACATCAAATACATAAATAAATTTTTTTAAAATGGGAATTTATGATGGTGCCTGGAGAGATGGCTGAGCAGTTAAGAGCACTGGCTGCTCTTGCAGAGGACCCAGGTTCAAATCCCAGCATCCACATGATAGCTAACAACCTTCTGTAACTCCAGTTCCAGGGGAATCCACTGTCCTCTTCTGACCTCTTTGGTGCACCTTTGACAGAGATTCACTTGCATACATGCAGACAACACACTCATACACATAAAAAAATAAAGTATTAAAAAATAATTTATGGTGTTTAAATCCCAAGATTGCCTCAGTTAAAATAAAAGAATTACTTCTTAGAAGAGGATGGTGTAATTGGTCAATTTTTGCTAAAGAAAAATTAACTCAGATCAAGAAGCAGATGTGTTGCTTTAATAACGATATTGTACATATATTGTACTTTTCTGAGTTTTTTAACTGTCATTTTGAATCAAAAGTAAATGATTATGAGATACATAGTTTTACTACTAGACCCATCTAATTTTTTTCAGATATGACGTTTGTTCTTAATTATATTTCAGAACATTTGAATATCCAGGCTTTGCCAAAAACGATTTTAGATTTGTGGTGAGATGTAAATTATTCTAGAACTTTATTATGAATGATGTTGAAGACGTAGTTTACTCAGAATGTTTCCTTGGGGTAAAGAGATTAAATACAACCATCTGAAACCGCTTATGTACAATCATAAAATCATAATTTAGATTCCCTTTTAAAGTAGTAGAGCTAAATTCCATATTCAGATGTTAGTAAAAGTAAAGATTTGGGTATAGGAAAATGTGATCAATTGAATTGGTTGTGGTTGTTAGTTATGATTCTACTTGTAAATGTTCCATGCAGAATCAAATAGTTGTTTAAATTCTTGTTTGGAAATTTTAATTTATGAATTTCACATATCTCCCCACTCTTGCAAGTTCCCACAGAGTGATACCCCTGTACATGTTTATTTTCCCTTTTGAAAATGAAGAGAACTGAAAATTTCATAATAGATTTGAACAGTAATTCCTGACAATTTTTTGAAAAACACTTTAGATTTTGAGATTATGGGATTGTATTGTTCTGGATGGGTTCAAGTGCAACAAAATAAGCACTTAAGAGAATGAAGTAAAGCAATAGAAAGTTCACAAGTTTCTATGTCCTGCATTACAGTTTACATTGTTGCAATGTTAGCTTTTAAAAATACTTTGTCTTAGTAAACATTTGGAAACAAATTTCAGCAAAGCATATGAGAGAACTTGTAGCCCTGTCTCCAGTTTTTCCTGTGGTATGCTGGAAATGACACAGGCTTTGGCTCTTTTTCATGCTACTTTAAGGGATTCAATTGATATTTTGTAGTTTCGCTTTAACAATCTTTAGACTTGTGATAAAAATGAAATGTGTGTATAAAACAATATAAAATAAGGGGTTGGAGGTGAAATTAATGAATGTTATTGCTAAAAACAGAATGCTTTGCTTCTGAAGTATCTAGAAGTTTCTTTCTCATAGCAAAAATCATTTCAACTCACAGTATGATTGAGAAGCTTGTAAAACCAGTTTCAAAGTTAATGACAAATATTATGCTTGGAGAGAAAGTAAAATGAGCTTTTGGCAAAAATCTTTTATCAAAGGCATACCATCTGGAAAAGCAATTACTGTCATAACGTTTGCTAGCAGATATTTTGTTTTTCAGTAAGAAGAAAGCACTGACATATAGAGAATATAGCAGCACTTCATGTAGGTGTGTTACCAATTACCGATGAAGAACCACTAAGCAAAAGTTTTTTTGTTTGTGTCTTGTTTTGTTGTTGGTTCATTGATGAATTTATAGCCTGGCGAAGTGGCATCTTTTCCTTTAAATCAAAGCACAAAACAACTTAAGCTATAGGAAAGGGTGTACTGGCTTTTTGAGTAAAAGAGGTTGACCACAACATCAATTCATAGCCTGCTTTTTTTCAGAGAAAAGATTTAGTATTCAGTAATATTTCTAATCCTGATACAATGTTGAAAAGAGTAAAAATTGTGTCTGTAAGCAATGTTAGATCACTAAAACCCCCATCTTTTAAAAGGTTTGTGAAGAAGTCATCAGCAGCTGTACTGTTATGATTTGCCATCATATTGTATGCTGTCTGCATAGAGGGGAGTGTTTTTATGCTTGTGAATTTTTTTGACAAAATTAGATAATTTCTTTTAAAATGGTAATTTCATTTCTTTCATTTCTTTTTTATTTATTTTTATTTGAAAAATTGTATTGAGCTTTTGTAATTTTATACAGCGGTTCTTCGTTTCTGTTATTTCAAAGGACTTGATCTATTTCAAATAGTCTCAACTTAATAACTGCAATTTATAATATCATTAGTAGTGATGCTGAGGAAGACATAGAAGCACTTTGTAAGTCTGATTTATACCACAAAATAGCTCATTAATCTCTAAGAGTTTTAATATTTCCCCATACATGATAGTTTTATTAATTTACCAAAATAAATAAGGAAGTTTTAAAAATTCTTAGAATCACACGAAAATGGAAATTTCAACCTACCTGACCCTTTGGATGTACCTAAGGCATTTCTAAAAGGGGAGTTTATAGCTCAGGAGGTAGAAACAGGAAGTTTCCTGTCACTTGCTGGCCAGTCAGTCTAGTAAAAATGGTTAGCTCCTGG